TGGCCCTGACTGTACCAAGGGGTGGAGTAGGGCGAGATCTGCTGGGAGGTAGGTGGAATATGGTCTAAAGCTCAGTGCGACACCCCTGATGTGGTGCTGGTCCTTCTTCCGTAAAGTAAAATCCAGATCAGGTTGCTGGACCTGTCGTAGGTGCAGACAACAGCGGGGGTGTTACATCACAGGGAAGGAGGAAATACCCACTTTGGGGTGTTCAGTGCTGTAATGGAGCTCTACATCTAGTTACAGAGAAGTGAAGGCAGAAAAGTACCAGTGCCACATGGTCATATTTTCGGGGAGTACCTTGTCCTGTGCATTGTCTGGTGCATCATGGGCTACCGTGAGGGAGAGGGAGCTCTGGTATGTTCTGAGGGCAGAGCCCAAATCTGGATAAAACACCACCAGGGAACAGACCTCCAGTGAGCCACTGCAAGTTAGCAGTTGCTATCCATGTGGGTTACAATCCTTCTAATGAAATAATTTTGCACTGGAAAATGCAAATTCAAGGGCTGAGCGTGTCCCAGCAGGACTAGGTGGCACCACAATAATAATGACAGTATCCCACTGTCTATTTATATCACGTTACCTTCAGCAAATCCTTTGCAAAGTCCTTCCCATCATTCAGCCCGTCCAGGTTTGCTATGAACTGTTGACACGACATCTTTTTGCCAATATTCTGTAAGGCAAAGAAGCAGCTCATTAAGCTTCTGGCGAGGTTTGACTTTAATCAGAGTGTCTCTTAAAGAACAATTTTATATGCAGCAGTGAGGCCTGGGTTTGCCCCAAGAGCTCAAAGCTGGAAGCAGGTCTTCTGCTCCGATTTTCTGTTGGGCTCTTTGCTTTATTTGCTCATGCCACCACCCAAATGTTTCATATGACCACTTTTTTTTTTTTTTTTTTTTTTTTAATGGTGGAGATAAAACACCTGAAAATCACCTCTCCAGCTCTTGCTCCAAACTTTCTAAGTAATGACACGTCGGGTCTCCAGGTTGTCCAGGTTGATCCTGGTATAGGGTGTGTGGCTCAGAACTCAAGGCGAGCACTCAGACTGCCTTGAAATTGCAGCACTAGGACGGGTCTCCAAGCCTGCCGTGCGTGACATCGCGTGACCGTGCAGTGTCAGCACCTGCAGACAGCCAGCACTGGGCAATGACTCGTCCTTCACAGCAACTGCTATTTTCAGTTGCCATTACGAGGAGAGACGATCCAGATACTGGTACTGTGCGAACTCAGGTGCTGTGGCATGTGAGGGCAATACATGAACACTGGGAGAATCTCACAACCTGTAACACACTCATCACCAGCTGATGCCAAGACTATTTGCTGCTGATGCTGCCAGCTCATCGGGCATCCCTGATATCAGGGACTATACCTGATAGCCAGGTGAGTCACTTTCTCAACCTGCAAGGGTCAAGGGGCTGGAGGCAGGCAGCCTTTTCCAAGGCTCCCCCTGCAAGTCTACCTCTCCAAAGGACTGGAGCAGAGGTGTGGAGGAGTCAGTGGGAATTGTAGGGTTCTGAAGAAGGAGTCCGATACCACAAAGGAAAGATGGGTGTCTCCAGTGCCATGTCATATTGCAGCCTTCACACCCTGGAGTGAAGTCTCCAAGGACAGACCCCGTGGTGATATCACATGGAGTGGACAACAGAGTTAGTGAGAGGACAGCATGAGCTAACACCAGCAGTCCTAAGGATCTCAACAGCATCCTGACACTGGGTGGGCTTTGCATGAAGGTATCGACAGAGTGACTATCCAGGAGGAGTCGAAGGATGGCCAAGAACAGTGGTGCCAGGACCCTGCTTAGGGACTCAGTGAGGAAGAAGAAGGGCCTCACTGGGTCACTGGGAAGGGATAAAGCTGCAGCAGATGATATAGGAGGTGCCCAAAGGGCAAGATGTGTCCTCTGTGCAAGAAAACAACCTCTTGAAAGAGACTGAAACCAGAAACCCTTGCCTACAAACACGCGCAACAGATCACAGAATCATAGAACTGTTTAGGTTCGAAAAGACCTGTAAGATCACCAAGTCAAACCGTTAACTTAACACTGCTAAGACCACCACTAAACCATGTCCCTAAGCACCACATCTACATGTCTTTTAAATACTTCCAGAGATGGTGACTCAACCACTTCCCTGGGCAGCCTGTGCCAATGCTTGACAACCTTTTAGGTGAAGAATTTTTTTCGTAATATCCAATCTAAACCTCCCCTGGCACAACTCCAGGCCACTTTCTCTTGTCCTATTGCTTGCTAGCTGGGAAAAGAGACCAACACTCACCTCGGTACAACCTCAGCAGATAGAAATAAAGTCTCCCATCAGCTTCCTTTTCTCCAGACCAAGCTGGGAAAAGAGACCAACACTCACCTCGGTACAACCTCAGCAGATAGAAATAAAGTCTCCCATCAGCTTCCTTTTCTCCAGACCAAACAATCCCAGTTCCTTCAGCTGCTCCTCATAAGACTTGTGCTCCAGACCCTTCACCAGCTTTGTTGTCCTTCTTTGGACACACTCCAACACCTCAATGTCTTTCTTGTAGGGAGGGCCCAAAACTGAACACAGTATCCAAGGTGTGGCCTCACCAGTGCCGAGTACAGGGGGACAATCACTTCCCTAGTCCTGCTGGCCACACTATTTCTCATACAAGCCAGGATGCTATTGGCCTTCTTGGCCACCTGGGCACATTGCTGGCTCATTCTCAGCCAGCTGTTGACCAGCACCCCCAGGTCCTTTCCCTCCAGGCAGCTTTCCAGTTACTCTTCCCCAAGCCTGTAGCGTTGCATGGGGTTGTTGTGACCCAAGCACAGGACTTGACACTGAGCCTTTCTCAATCTCATACAATTGGCCTCAGTCCGTGCATCCAGCCTGTCCAGATCTCCCTGTAGAGCCTTTCTACCCTCAAGCAGATCAACACTCCTGCCCAGCTTGGTGTCAGCTGCAAATTTACTGAGGGTGCCCTCAGTAAGTCCTTGTCCAGACCATTGATAAAGACATTAAACAGAACTGGCCCCAATACCGAGCTCTGGGGAACACCACTTGTGACCACCTGCCAACTCTTCGGGCCTGACATCCAGCCAGCTTTTTACTCAGAAAAGAGTACACCTGTCCAAGCCATGAGCAGCCAGTATCTCCAGGAGAATGCTCTGGGGAATGGTGTCAAAGGCTTTACTGAAGTCCAGGTATACAACATCCACAGTCTTTCCCTCATCCACTAAGTGGGTCACCTTGTCATAGAATGAGATCGGGTTAGTCAATCAGGACCTGCCTTTCATAAACCCATGCTGACTGGGCCTGATCACCTGGTTGTCCTGTACGTGCCACGTCATGGCACTCAAGATGATCTGCTCCATAACCTTCCCAACACCAAGGTCAGACTGATGGACCTGTATTTCCCCAGGTCCTCTTTCCAACCCTTCTTGTAGATAGGCATCACATTTTCCAGCCTCCAGTCAACTGGGACCTCACCGGTTACCCAGGACTGCTGAGGAGTGATTGAAAGTGGTTTGCTGAGCACTTGCCACCAGCTCCCTCAGTACCCTTGTGTGGATCCCACCTGGCCCCATAGACTTGTGTGTGTCTAAGTGGTGCAGCACTAACCATTTCCCCTTGGATTACAAGGGCTGCATTCAGCTCCCCGTCCCTGTCTTTCAGGTCAGGGTGCTGGGTACCCAGAGAACAACTGGTCTTACTATTAAAGACTGAGGCAAAGAAGGCATTAAGTACCTCACCCTTTTCCTCATCCTTTGTCTCTGTGTTTCCCCTCCCAACCAATAAAGGATGGAAAATTCTCTCCTTTTTTTATCTGAGTTCCAGCCAGGAACTGGCTTTATCTCTCTTCAGCCAGGTCGATCTTTGTCCCCACTGGCTCATCTTTCAGCACAGGGGGACAGCCTGCTCCTGTGCCTGTAGGATTTCCTTCTTGAAGAATGTCCATCCTTCCTGGACTCCTTTGCCCTTCAGGACTACCTCCCAAGGGACTCTGTCAACCAGGCTCCTAAACAGGCCAAAGTCTGCCCTCCAGAAGTTCAAGGTAGCAGTTCCAGTGGTCTCCCTCCATACTTCTTCAAGAATCGAAAACTCTATTATTTCGTGATCACTGTGCCCAAGACAGCCTCCAACCATCACATCACCCACAAGTCCTTTTCTGTTTGCAAACATGTCCAGTGGGGCACCTTCCCTAATTTGCTCACTTACCAACTGCATCAGGAAGTTATCTTCCACACAATCCAGGAACCTCCTAAGGTGCTTCCTCTTTGCTGGATTGTATTTCCAGCAGACATCTGGTAAGTCGAAGTCCCCCAGGAGAAAAAGGGCTAGCGATTCTGAGACTTATCCCAGATGCTTATAGAATATTTCATTTGCCTCTTCATCCTGGTTGGGTGATCTATAACAGACTCCCACCATGATATCTGCCTTGTTGGCCTTCCTCCTAATTATTACCCATAAACACTCAACCTTATCGTCACCATCATTAAGCTCTAGACAATCAAAACACTCCGTAACATACAGGCTAACCCACCGCCTCTCCTTCCTTGCCTATCCCTTCTGAAGAGTTTATAGCCATCCATTGCAGCACTCCAGTTGTGTGAGTCATCCCACCATATTTTCGTGACGGCAACTATATCATAGTTTTCCTACTGCACAATGGCTTCCAGCTCCTCCTGTTTGCTGCAAATGCTGCATGTCTTGGTGTAGATGACCAATACATGACTTCAGTTGAGCTACTGATTCCACCACCTTTCTGGAGGAAGAACCTCTAACTCCTACGAGACCATTCTCGGGTGCTTCTCACACATCAATAACCCTTGTGTCTTTGCTGCCACATAGATCTCCATCCCCTATCTCCACTGAAATGGCAGACCAAAGGACCTCACTAGCACACCACCCCTCAAATATTGTCGGGCTGCCCCCACACTTATCTCTAGTAAGTCTGGTTTTATCTCCTTCCCTTTCAAATCTAATTTAAAGCTCTTCCAATGAGCCCTGCTAACTCCTGTGCAAAGATCCTTTTCCTGCTTTGAGACAGGTGTACCCCATCTGTTGCCAGCAGGCCTGGTATCATGAAAACCGACCCATGATCAAAAAAACCAAAATTCTGCCAGCGACATCAGGCTCGGAGCCAGGTATTGATCTGCTGGCTCTTCCCTCGCAGATGACCTGGGGGCTTCTCCACAGGTGAAAGCATCAGCAAAGAGTGAGGCCTTGGAATTAGCCCACGATATCCCCCAACACCTGCCATCTGTGTGTGCAGGCACACTCTTTGGCCACATAGGGAGCCGGCGCTGCCTTTGAGCAGCTCTGTCTGATACCCTTAATTATGCCTCCTGTCGGTGCCAGCTCCAGATGAGCTGGCATCCTTGCGAGATCAAGAAAATGAGGGATAAAGCACTGCTACAAATCTGCAGTGCCTGGGGACACGGTGCAGAACAACACGAGGCTTGGCCATCTTTGGGAGCCCCATGGCTGGTGCCCATAGCTGGACCCCATAGCTAGAGGCTACCACCAGCAAGTGCTCATCAGGTGCACCAGCTGCAGAAGAGCTGCAGGGAAACCTGCAGACATACTGTTTTTTTTCATCAGAGGGAAGGGAGTACTTGTGTACTTGCTGGCTGGTGAATTACAGGGAAAAGAAGCCAGCACCTCAGTGATGTGTGGATGGAGAAAGGAATGAGGGTGAGAG